AGGCATGAACAAACCTCAGGGGGGAAGCCCTAGCATCATCTTCTTGTATGACTGGACAAAATCACTTCACTTTCTCTCTCTCTCTCTCTCTCTCTCTCTCTCTCTCTCTTTTTGAGATAAGGTCTCCCTGTATCCCCTACAAGTCTGACATTCCCTTTATAGACCAGGTTGGCCTCAATCTCACAAAGATCCACCTGCCTCACCTTCCCAAGTGCTGGGATTAAAGGTGTGTGCCATCATGCCCAGACCCATTTTTATTATTTTTTCATTGTGTGTATATGTAAGGGGGGATTGTATGTATACATGAGTGCAGGTGCCTAGAGTCCAGAAGAGGGCCTTAGATCCCTTGGAGCTGAAGTTACAGGCAGTTGTGAGCTGTCCAATGTGGGTCCTGGGAACCAAACTCAAGTCCTCTGCAAGAGCAGTACAAACTCTTAACCACTGAGCCATCTCACCAACCCCACCAAAACTTTTTTTTTTTCCCCACATTTATTTATGTTGTTTCTGTGTGTGGACACGTGTCACCTTCAACCCTATGGGATCAAACTCAGGTCTTGGCAGCAAGTTACCTATCCACTGAGCCATCTTGCCAGCCTCCCCTCAAAAACTAAAAAACTTTAAAAGAAGGTTCAGGCTGGGCATGGTGGTGCACGCCTTTAATCCTCACACTTGGGAGGCAGTGGCAGGCGGATTGTGAGTTCAAGGCCAGCCTGGTCTCCAGGGAGACCCTGTCTCAAAAAGACCAAAAAAAGAAGGTAAAACAAAAGCATCCAGGTATGGTGACTCAGGCCTGTAATCCCCACACTTGAGAGGCTGAGGCAGGAAAAGACCCCACCCCACTTCCCAAAAAAGGGAGGAAAACAAAAGCCAGACATGGTGGCTCAGGAGCACTAAGGAGGCCGGGACAGTAGGAGTGTGTCAAGCCTGAGGCCAGCCTGGGCTACATAGCAAGATCCTGTCTCAAAAAATAAAAAAATAAAAAAGAGAAGAGGCTATGGAGACAGCTCCGTGCATAAGAGCACTTGCTCTGCAAGCAGGAGGACCTGAGTTCGAATCTTGAGAGCTTGCTGCCCAATCAGCTAGCCAAACTGGCAAGCTTCCAGTTCAGTAAGACACCCGGTCTTGAGGAGAGTAATAGAGGAAGACACCCAGCATCCTGCTCTGGCCTCCCTGTGTGCTGGCATGTATGGAACTCACATTCACATGTACCACACACGCACAAAAATGAAAAACTAATAAAAATTAAAAAAGGTAGGGACTGGGAGTGCTGGCAGAGTGCTTGCCTTTTATGCATGAAGACTTGGATTCTATTCCCAGCACCACATAAACCAAGTGTGGTGATTTACACCTGTAATCCCAGCCCTGGGGAGGTAAAGGCAGGAGGATCAGAAATTCAAGGTCATCCTCAGCTACAAAGCAAGTTCAAGACTAGCCTGAGCTATACAAGGCCTTGTCTCAAAAACAAATAAAATAAATTTTTTAAAAAAGAGTGATTACCGGGCTGGAGAGATGGCTCAGAGGTTAAGAGCACTGACTGCTCTTGCAGAGGACTCAGATTCGAGTCCCAGCACCCACAATGCGGCTAGAACCGTCCTTAACTCCAGTTCCAGGGGAATCCAAAGCCTTCTTCTGACCTCTGAGGCATTGCATGACACGGGTGCACTCACACACACGCAGGCAATACACTCAAACACATAAAACTAAAATAATAAATAAAATATTTAAAAATAATAATAAATAAATAAATAGAGGCCGGAGAGATGGCTCAGTGGTTAAGAACGCTGGTTGTTCTTGCAGAAGACCCGGATTCAAAACCCAGCACACCGCATGGCAGCTAACAACTGTCTGTAGCTCCAGTCCCAGGGGATCCAAGAGCCTCTTCTGACCTCTGCAGGCAGTACACTCACACACATAAAAAATTACTTTCTCATGATGTGAATAGAGATAACATTTTAAATATAAATAAATAAATAAAAAGAGTGATTACCTGGAAAAGAACAGAAGTCTTCAGGGAAAGACTTCAGGACAGGAAGAGAACAAGGCGAGCAAGAGTCACCTTGATGAGACTACTAGAGCCAGAAGTCCTGTGACTTCCCAAAGTGCTACACAGGCCTGCCTCTGCTGCCACCTCCTGAACAAGGCAGGCACTGCACAGAACCTCCCACTCCCACCCTTCCTGCAGATACTGCAGATTCACACCTTCAGTCTCCTTTTAGGTCCAGTTTGTACCACGTCAGCCCTTACACAGTCCCTCAAAACTGTTCTCGGGTCTACTCACTGTAATTACATGCCTGGCTCATACCACATCAATCTGCACTGCCTTGGAAAGATTTTTAAAGCAACCAAGATTTTTTAATTTTAATGAAGGAGGCACTCCTGGTTGTTATTGGCCAGTTTTTGTTTCCTAAGACAGGTTCTCACTCTGTAGCCCAGGCTGCCCTTGAACTTCCAATCCTGCTTCAGTCTCTTGAACCCAGGAACAGGTATGCATCACTATTTTTTGTCTGTTTTTGAAACAAGGTCTCACTATGTAGCACTGGCTGGCCTGGAGCTCACTGTGTAGACCAGGTTGGCCTCAAACTCAGAGATCCACCTGCCTCTGCCTTCTGAATGCTGGGACTGAAGGCGTGCACCACCACGCTCTGCCTGATTATGCATATTTTTTATCATACCAACAGTTCTTTCAGATCCACATGGCCATATAGAACAGGCAGAATCAGAGGTACTGTCCTTTTACAGATGAGGAATACTAACGTTCCAGACCAGCAGCACAGCACACCTGGTAATTTTTTAGGATAGTTAAATCAGGGGTGGTAGTACATAATTATAATCCCAGCATACAGGAGGCTGAAGCAGGAAGAGCACCTGTGAGTTCAAGGCCAGTCTGGGCTGCATATGAAGAAGGGATGGGGGAGGGAGGGACGAAAAGAAGAAAAGGAAAGAAGGAAGGGAAAAACTATACATATATATATATATATATATATTTGTCTTTTTTGAGATAGGGTCTCCCTTTAGTTACAGGTTGGCCTGGAACTCACTATGTAAACCAGGCTGGCCTCAATCTCACAGAGATCCTCTTGCCTCTGCCTCCTCTTGCATCTGCCTCCTGAGTACTGGGATTAAGGGCGGTGCACCCGTGTCATGCAATGCCGGAGGAGGACAGAAGAGGCTGTCGGATGCCCTGGGACTGGAGTTACGGATAGTTGTTGGCTGCCATGTGGGTGCTAGGATTCGAACCCAGGTCCTCTGTAAGAACAACCAGTGTTCTTAACCACTGAGTCATCTCTCCAGTCCCTCAATAAAGATTTTTTAAGTTCACACTGCAACCAGGCATGGTGGCACATGCCTGTAAACCTAGTACTTCAGTCTGAGGTTGAGGACAGCTCCAAGTTCAAGGTCAGCCTGGGGCCCACAGGGAGCACTAGACAGGTCAGGGCTACATAGCAAGGCCCTGTCTCAAAAATTAAACAGCACTAGGAGGACTGCCTTGAGATCAAGGCCACCCTCAGCTACAAAATGAGGTCCAGACCAACCTGGGCTACAGTGTGAGAGCCTGTCCCAAATGACACAAACAAGTTCAAACTACAAGCAGACTGAAATACTCCAGCAAAGAGATGATGGACCAACAATGAATGACTTAAAAAACACATATTGCAATGTTTGAGAATACCCTTAACAGAAAAGCAGATGTCAATGAGCATGTGTGTGGAACTCCAAGCCAGGCTCCAGCCATCCCCTGCAACCATCTACTGACCTTGGCTGCCTAGAGTGGAGGCAGCTGTGTGGTAAGTCTCACAGTCCACAGAAAATGTTCCTTGTTTTTCTGCCCCAAGCATCTCTAATTTCCGGGTGAGGATCTCCACCGTCTGCTGGACACTCTTGCCCTCAGCCACAGGCATCTGGGATACACTGGAAAACAGAACACCAAGTCAGTAGTGTCCAGCAACACCCATGTGCTGGCTCAGTTACTCCCCAACAGAATGACAACTCAACAGGGCCAGGAGACAGACAACACTAACTCTGATCACTTAAACCTGAGGAAGTAGGAAGCAGAGCACAGGTCTAGAGATGCTCACAACTTCCTGTCACACCAGTATTCCCCAAGTAAGGCTGGTGTACCAACGTTCTAGGTACTTCACAGACCCAAAACATGGGTGCCCCATTCCATAGTCCATGGGCTGGGGTCCTGGACTAAATAAAAAAGAGCAAGCAAGCTGAGTGACACCTTCCCCCCACCACTTTACTGTGGTTGCAAAGTGACATGCTCCTGCCACCATGCCTTCCTTCCATGGTCGTGAGCCTCAAATCATGAGCCAAAATAAACCCTTCCTGCCTAAGTTGCTTATGTCAGGGAGTGTCGCAGCAAGAAGTGACTTAAACTCACACAGTGAGAAATGGATTCCTTTGCTGTTCTTTCAGTTCTGACTCTATCAAGGAAAAAGTCAGTTTGGGATTAGCATGTTTTTACCAACTCTGAACTGTCCAACACAGCAGTCTCAAGAAACAGGAGGCTGGAGGATCATGTTCTGGACAGTGCGGATATAAAACATTTCCACCATCACAGAAAGCTCCACTTTACAACCCTAGGAACAAAGAGAAGGCAGGCCTCGGCCTTATAACCCTTGGAAGTGAGAGGTAACAGTCTTTGTAAGGATTTAAGTTCTTTCCACGGTTTCTTCCTTTGATGTGTTCTGTCCCCCCACCCCCAGTGGAAACTCCATCCCAGCACACAGGCAGCAGAGGCAGGTTGATCACAAGCTCCAGATCAGCCCTCACTACATAGCCCATAAATACATATGTAGTGGTGGGGGGATTCCATAGCTCACTGCCTCTGTATTGTGCTTCTTCCATTTCCCTTGCTGACAAGCACTCCTTACAGTAGAGGCCTGAGATGTAGCTCATGATGGCACTTGTAGGAGGGCACAGTTAACTAAAACACCTGCAGGAGCCTGGGCTACCAGAACTATTTCCTCCATGCACCTTTTCATGAGGGAAAAAAAACCCAAGGGCCTCTGTACCTGGAAAGACGTCCACAACTAGCAAGATTTGAGAAAGTGCTGAGACCTAGCACACTTTGGAACTAATGCCCACAAAAGCACTGGGCCCTTCCCTCAGAGTACTCAGCACCTCTCCTTTTCTAAGTGAGATTTAAAACATATTAGAGATTTTTTTTTAAAGTTAATTGAGCCAGGCACTCAGGAGGCAGAGGCAGACAGATATCAGTGAGATCAAGGCCAGCCTGGTCTACATGTTGAGTTGCAGACCAGCTGGGACTACAGAAAGAACCTGTCTCAAAAAAACCAAAACCAAAACCAAACAAAGCCAAATAAAACTAGTCCAAACATGTAATTAAACACTGTTGGAAGGAGGTCCTGAATAGTTAATATGCCTAGAACCCCAATCTAATTCCTAATGGCTTCTTCTCTCTCTAAACCCAATTTTTTAATTATTTTTATTTTATGTGTATGAGTGTATTGCCTGCATGTATGTGAGTGCACCTGTGTCATGCAATGCCATGGAGGTCAGAGGGCTTCAGATTCCCTTGGAACTGGAGTTAAGGACCATTCGTAGCCACCATGTGAGTGCTGGGAATTGAACCCAGGTCCTCTGCAAGAGCAGTCAGTGCTCTTAACCGCTGAGCCATCTCTCCAGCCCCTAAACCCAATTTATTTATTTTTTGGTCTTTTTGAGACAGGGTCTCCCTGTAGCCCCAGATGTTCTGGAACTCACTATGTAGACCAGGCTGGCCGTGAACTCACAGAGATCCGCCTGCCTCTGCCTCCCAAGTGCTGGTATTAAAGGCGTGCACCAACACACCCGGCCCAATTTTTAATGTGTATGTGTGTGGGTTTGTGCTTGTGAGTGCGGTGCCTTTGAAGGCCAAAGGCCTCTGATCCCTGGAGCTGGTGTTACAGACAATTGTGACTGGGGATGGGAACCAAATTTCACATTCTCATCCTTGGCAAGAGCAGTATGTCTGTGGTCTTGACTGCTGAGCCATCTCTCCAGACCCACAGACCCCAATATCTTTTTGTTGGTGGTGTTTTTGCTTTTAGTCAGTCTCACTATGTGGCCTCAGCTGACCTGGAACTATGTAGATCAAGCAGACCTCGATCTCGAAGTGCACCTGCCTCGGCCTCTGGCGTGCTGGGATTAAGGGCGTGCACCACCACGCCCGGCTAGACCCAGTATCTTAAAGTAGTCAACTTAAAGCCAGGCTATTCTGCATGTGCTGGTTCTGGAGGGGAGCAAGTGAAAACGCAAAAAAAACCTCGTTTCTCCTCGTTGCCTATCCCTCGCTTTACCCCTGTCTGCAAATGACGCCCTGCCACCCTGCAGGCCCCGCAGTGTCCCCGAGGACCTCTGGCTCGGCTGGCGGGAACCTAGTCCCGACCCTCCTCTTGGAGCCACACTGCAGGCTCACAGGACACTTCGCCACCCCAGGCTGCGCCCACAGAAGCCCTAGCAGTCCTACCAAGTCACTCCCATGGCGGGGGGGGGGGGGTCACAGGGTGGCAACCCCTAAACAGTCGAACACAGAGGTCTGCCTCGATCCGCTGGAGCTGCAGCCCCCGAACGCAGGGTACAGTCACAGAAGGAGCTCCGGAAATACGTAACTACGGAGCGACAGGGAAAGGGAGCGTATCCGACCACTCCCGTGTGACGTCAGAGATGACGTCATCCACTCGGTTTTACACACACACACACACACACACACACACACACACACACACACACACCGGCTTGCATCGCCTTTGACCAGACACGCTAGGCCCATATTAGTGAATTCTGGAAAACGTGTCTCGGATCTCCATCATTTACAGAAGCCGACGTTAGAGACAATGAGATTATCCGAGAATTCTCGGAATCCGATTCCGGCCATGGGAGGTGCGTGCGGCACTTCCGGCCTCCGGACGCTAGGGAGCGCTCTGATCTCTCCGCCACCTCTTGGGCACCGGAACCCACGGCGCAACCGCAGTCTGTCCTTTTCGCCGGTTCCCGCACGTGTAAACCTGGTCTTCAAGTTTTTCTAGAAAAATGCCCAAGTTCAGGGCGTCCCGTGGGGCTGGTGGTCAGGAGAAGCATGCGCCTCTGGCCGAGCAGATTCTGGCCGGGGATGCGGTGCGGGCAGGGACCCGGGTGAAGAGTCGGGGACGTGGAACCGAAGAGGAAGAATATGTGGGACCGCGCTTGAGCCGACGCATTTTGCAGCAAGCCCGGCAGCAGCAGGAGGAGCTCGAGACCGAGCACGGGGCCGGGTACCGGCCGGCCAAACCGCGGGAGCGTGCCACGCGGCTGGGTGAGTGACAGCGGGTGGGCTACGACCGGGATGGGGGCGGGTTGGGCCAGCTCTAAGTGTATCCGGAGACCAAGTCGGAATTAAAAGGAGAGGCCACCTTACATCCTCATATGGTCCTCCACGCCCACTCCTTGCTTCCGAAACTTCCAGGTCAGGCCAACTGGAAGTGAACGTTCACAGCAAGTTCTAGCATTTATTCCCCTAACTTGTGAAGGGTTTATGGGATACCTCCGAGGTGCTTTGAACTATGCTGAGTTTGGATACAGAAATTAACAAGACACTCGTGCTTCATGCTGGGACCGGAAGTTTAGCCCAAGACAGAGAGCTTTAAGAAGATAGAGTTAATATTTCAGCTAAGCATTGTGGTATTTGACTGTAATCCCAGCACAGGGGAGGCTGAGGCAGATCAGAAAGGACTTTGACACCAGCCAGGGGTACATAACAAGACCCAGTCTCAAAAACAAAACAAAAAAAAACGTATTCCATGAATAGTGTTCTTTTTTAAAACATTATTATTTTTATTTTATGAGTGTATTGTCCGCACGTATGTAGGTGCACCTGTGTCGTGCAGTGTCCTTGGAGGTCAGAAGAGGGCGTGGGATTCCCTTGGAACTGGAGTTAGGGGTGGTTGTTAGCTGCAGTGTGGGTGCTGGGAATCGAGCTCAGTTCTTCTGCAAGAGCAACCAGCGCTCCTATCCTGAGCCATTTCTTCAGCCTGGATCAAGTGTTCTTGGGGTTGGGGGGTTGGGGGGGGCGGTGAGTCCTGGAGTGGTGGCATAGGCCTTTAATCCTAGCACTCCGGATTAATCCAGGCAGAAGCAGGTGGATCTCTGTAAATTTGAGGAGAGGCTGGTCTACCTATCAAGTTCCAGTCCAGCCAGGATTTACAGCTCAGGAATGCCAGGTTGCCCGGCTTTCAGGCTGAGACCTGGAAAGTAAGTGGGAAGTGCCCCAGTGAAGGGGAGGGGATAGTATTGTTTAGGGGCTAAAATGGGACAGAAGTGAATTGCCAAGTGTTTGATATTTCTCTGACTGGGGAGGAACTGTTGACCTGGAGTTGCTTAATCCTTCAACCTCATTTGTCCTAAAAGCAGTATTTGAAGATAGCTTCCTAGATACAGTAGTTTTACCTGCTCTCTGGTTTTTTTTTGTTGTTGTTTTGAAATAGGTCTCATGTAGTCCAGGATGATTTCTGTCCTAGTTTGCTTCTCTGTTGCTGTATGGTAAAAACACTGACCAAAACTAACTTGTAGGAAAAGGTTTATTTTATCTTTTTTTTTTTTTTTTTTTTTTCCTCTCTTTTTTAAACAGGGTCTCTCTATAGCCCCAGCTGTCCTGGAACTCACTATGTAGACCAGGCTGGCCTTAAACTCACAGAGATCCCCCCTGCCTCTGCCTCCCATTGCTGGGACTACAGGCGTGTACCACCATGCCCAGCCAAGGGTTTATTTTATCTTACATCTCTTAAGTCACAGTTCATCACTGAAGGAAGTTCTGGCAGGTGCTCAGGGCGGGAACCTGGAGTCGGAGGCTGAAGCACAGACCACTGAGGAACTAGCTTGCCCCCCTAGCCTGTATGCAGCCTGCTTTCTTACATAACCCAGGACCCCATGCCAGGGCTGGCACCACCCACAGTGAGCTGGGCCTTCCCTTATCACTCAGCAATCCAGAAAATGCTCCACAGACTTGGCCACAGGCCAGTCCAACGGAGGAAATTCCTCACTTGAGATTCCCTCTACCCAGGTATATTGACAGCTGAAGCTATCCAGCAGAGCCTCAAACTCAATGTATAGGCAAAGATGACCTTGAACTCCTGATCTTGCCTCTGCATCCCAAATGGTGGGATTACAGGTACTCAACACCACACCTAATCCTTTGGAAAGATTTTTTTTTTTTTTTTGTAATTATGAGACAGGGTCTCCATAAGTTGAAATTGTTCGTGCTGGCCTTGAACTCGCTCTGTAACCAGGGCAGACCTGGAACTTTCAGTCCTGCTTCAGATTCTCCAGCAGCTGGAAATACAGGTATTTGCTTAACTCCCTCTCTCCAGCTTCTTTACTTGATTTTAAAGATGTCACATAGTCTTTGCTGTCACCTGATTTCTCAGAACCTTTGCTGGCTCCTCTTTTGCCCTGACCTCATATTAAAATGCCACAAGAGTCAGTCCTCACAACTCTTCAAATTCTTCTGTTCTGCGCCACTGTCTACAGGTTCCACAGTTTAAAGGCATCCTTCTATTTGTTGCCTACTCCCAACTTCACATCCCAGACCTAGCTCTTCCATGAAACCCAAATCCTTATATCCAACTGCCTGCCTGACATCTCTGAATTGAGGACTGATACTTGTCTCAGATTTAACCTGTCCAAAACAGACATGGTGACCTGCTCCCCGCACCTACTTTTCTACCTGTCTTCATCAAGTCTGTTAGCGTACTAGCTTTCCATTCACTCAAGGCAAAAACCTTGGGCTCAGTAAATCCTGATGACTTTTTTCTTCAAAACATATCTAGACTAGGGGCCAGAGAGGTGGCTTGACAGTTAAGAGCACTGGCTGCTCTTGCAGGGACTTGGGTTCTGATCCCAATACCCACATGGCAGCCAACAACCATTCATAACTCCAGTTCCAGGGGATGCCCATGCCTCCTGGCATTGAAAGCTTTGGTATACTTAACATACATTCAGGCAAAACACTCATACATACACAATTTTTTTTTTTTTTTTTTGTTCTTTTTGAGACAGGGTCTCCCTTGAGCCCCAGCTGTCCTGGAACTCACTATGTAGACCAGGCTGGCCTTGAACTCACAGAGATCCGCCTGCCTCTGCCTCCCAAGTGCTGGGATTAAAGGCATGCACCACCATGCCCGGCCATACACAATTTTTAAAATTAACACACATCCAGAGCCAGACCACTTTCCATCATTTCGGAATGTTTTTCTCTATTCAAGCTATCACAGTCTCTCACCTGGATTACTGCAATAGCATCAAGATTTGTATTATGTAACCTCTGAGGGTCATTCGGTACCTAGAAGTGAACTGTTGCCAGTCTGACCACAGGCTATGAATATAGCTTAGTCAGTAAAGTGGTGCTTTGAAAGCATGAGGACCTGAGTTCAGTCCCCAGTAGTTGGTAATCCCAGCCCTGGGGAGATGAAGGTGAACAGATCCTTCAGGCACACTGCCCAGTCAGCCTGGTCTAACCAAAGAGCTGCAGGTCCCAGCTAGAGACCTGACAAAAAAACAAGGTTGGCAGATCCTAAGGGATAACACCCAAGGTTGCCTTCTGGCCTCCATGCACACATGTATGCTCATACACACATACATGTAACAAAAAAAATACCCACTCTGAAATTTCAACATCCACTTCCTGATCTCTCTGCCCTATTTGTTTCATAACTTGTCATTTCTTGTATTTATTTATTTAGTGTGTGCCGTGGTGTGTATGTGGCGGTCAGAGGACAACTTTCAGGAATTGGTTCTCTCCTTCAACCATGTGTGATCTGGGGATTGAGCTCAGGTCATCAGTCTTGACAGCAAATACCTCTACCAACTAAGCCATCTCACCATTCCCACTTTGTCTTCTCTTAATCCCATGTGTTCATTTCCCAGATTTGAGCCTCAGAACAACCAAAAAAAAAAGAGGGAGAAAGGGGCATATTTACTTATGTTTTCCTCAATCTACTATATAAGCTCCATAAGGGCAAAACTTTTCCATTTACTCCATGTTATATTCCCCGCACCCATAACAGTGTTTCACATAGAGTAGCGTTTACAGTATGATAGGTGAGTGGGTGCTGGTGAGGCGAGAGGAGGGAGGGGAGGAAGCAGCCCTGCACAGTCCTGGTGAGGAAGGAGGATGCAGCCTTGCAGAGTCCTGGAGGCTGGGCGACCTGTTTTCAAGACTTCTCCCTACTGTAAGGAGCTGTTTCTTTGCTCAATAAACTTTGTTTGCCCTTCAAAAGCAAAGTTTTGAGGACCATGCCAGGATTTAAAGCCTTTGGGAGTAGGAAACTGTTGGAGAATTTTGAGTCCAAATTTATCAAACCAAATAGGTGTTTTTGGAAGTTTTGTGTGGCTGCAGAGTGGAGAATTGAATTGGGGGGAAGCCACATGAGAAGCGTGGAGACTGTTAAGAGAGTGTTGGGTTGATCCTGTCAAAAAGTGGTATAGATATGGGCTCAGCCGGTAGAACCATGGCTTATATAAATGATGGCTGTAGAGGGTGAGGATGGAGGACAAGGTAGGACTGTCTCCCAGGTTTCTTGTTAAGTGAGTGACTTCCAGAATTATGCATCTTTGAAGTGCCTGTGGATCATTCAAGGACCACTGGACAGAAGGCACCTGGAATTAAGGTTTGGGGCCAAAAAGACAGGTCCACCTGCAATGCAGAATTTTTTTGGCTTGTGGAGAGAAATGTCTGCCTCCTCCCCTGGCTTAACTTTATCACACACTACTTCTGTTTGAGGGGTGGGGTGCTGGAAGCTGAACCCATGAGTTTGTATGTGCTGTGTGTGCACACTCCTGAGCTGACCCCATGGTCCACTTCTGTTGCAAATGACCTGTTCCTATGCAGGTTTTTTTGGGGTAAGGGGATCTGTTTAAGACAAGGTCTCCCTTTAGCCCCAGCTGACCTAGAACTCACTATGTAGACCAGACTGCCCTCAAACTCTCAAAGATCTGCCTGCCTTTGCCTCCCAAGTGCTGGGATTAAAGGCATATGCCACCACACCAGGCTGAGACCCTGTTTTTAAAAAGAAAGGGAGGGGTGCTGGAGAAATGGCTCAGAAGTTAAGAACACTGACTGTTCTTGCAGAAGACCCAGGTTCTTGCAGAAGACCCAGCACCCACATGGCAGCTAACAACTGTCCGTAACTCCAGTTCCAGGGGATCTGACAGTCTCTTCTGTCCTCCATGGGCATTGCAGGACATGGGTGCACTTAACTACATGCACGCAATACACACATACACATAAATAAATAAAATATTAAAAAGAGAGCAGGAGGGAGGGAGGAAGGAAGGAGCCAGTAATTTAAGTGTATTGAGCTGTTATACTCTAAATTCTACTGTTTGGTGGGGCCATTCACGTTTTCTTTTCCCGGCCACCCCTGTGGCCCTATTTCTGACTCTAGCTCCTTAATGCACAACCTACACTTTGATAATGAAGTCCTTTTTCCAGTCTATAGAACACACTCTTGCTCCCAAGCTGTCTACCCACAGTCTGACCATCTTCCACACTCGTCTTTTTAAGTGCCCACGGTACTCTCTCTGCCATGGTTTTAGCATGTAGTCCAGCCCTACTGTGCGAGTCGCATAGTGGTGGAAAAATGGAGTCAGAACTCAAACTGCCTGCCATGGTGGGCAAACCAGCTTTTCTGTTGGAACTGGGTATAGTGATAGTACCTGCTTCTTGAGGTTGTCTGGGCTAGCCAGGTAACACATATGCAATGTGAAACGGATCCTGCTGTATCACTAAGGATGCCATGTTAACCATTACTTAGCAGCATTGCTCTCTGTTTCTGGTGTTGCATGTTGCTTCTCATGCAGGATTTCAGACCCCTGGGGAGAGGAAGACAGTACACATCTGTGTCTCACCACTATCCCCGGCTTGCAGAACATGGCTGAAGTGAACCTCAGAACCCCAGCACCCCTCCTTGTTCATTTTTTTTTATCTTCCCTCTTCTAGGGCCGGGAGTACCACAGGATGGCTCTGATGAGGAGGATGACGAGTGGCCCACCCTGGAGAAAGCAGCCAAAATGACTGGGGTGGACCACCAAGCAGAGGTGGTTGTGGACCCTGAGGATGAACGTGCCATTGAAATGTTCATGAACAAGAACCCTCCTATCAGGTAGGGCTAGAGATTTGTGACAGTGCGTTTGTCCTGTCAGAAGGTTCTCATGGGCATGCAAGTTCCTTGGTCAACTTTTTTTGGTCCCCTGTCTTTGGACAGGACCTGAACATTACTAGCTGTGGGCTGCCACCAGCCCATCCTCCAAGAACATTCTAAGCAGAAATGACCAAAACTCAAAACAGCCCCTCCTCTTCTGTTCATCTGTTTAGAATTGCCTGGATTACCCAGGGAAATAAGCTTCCAATCTTTTGTATATCTGGCGATCCAGTCTGCATTTGGTCTTGGTACAAATAGTCTTAGTGGTAAGCTCAATTCTCATGAAAAAAACCTGATTTCTTTAGCTTCAGTTAAAACAGGACTTTCATCCTCAACCCTATGGGCATTTGACCTGGATAACTTTTTCCATGTGGAGCTTAGAGCACAGGATGTTCAGCAAGTATCTCTGACATCTACCCTCCAGATACCAGTAGTGCTAGCCCCTCTAGTTGTGATAAGGAAGATGACTACAGACATTGCCAAATGTCCCCAGAGGGGTAGCACTGCTTCTGGTTAGAACCACTAATTAATCCCCACCTGTTATAAATGCTGCCTCCAAAAACATGCAAGCATGTAGGTTGCCAGTGGTCAAATTCCTAAGCCCATGTATTTGGCCCAGGGGAGGGGAGTAGGTGTAGGGCAAAGGGCCCTCTTCAGGGTGGTGTGGGCTAATGTATCTCTCATCACTAATATTGTGAACAGACCAAAGAGCTGAATAGTAGGTTCTGTGGCTGCTAAGCACACAGAATGAAGAAGCTGGCCCCTCTCCCAGATAGCTAGCTGTCTGACAGCTCTACTGGAGGTCACCGAGTGTATTCTTGGGTCATGTACCTGTCCCTAGCAAGCCTCTCCAGTTCTCAGGCAGCACCTCATAATGCCTTCACAGATAATTCAGATGAGCTTAGCAGAATAGTTCTCCAGTTTGCAGTAAGTAACAAGCTGGTAGAAAAGGGACCCCTGGCATTCTGAGCACTGGCAGCTGTGATCCTCAGAAAGCAGGCCCAGGACCTTGGAAACTCAGCAGTCAGACCATGTAAGCTAGGGGCACATTGAAAGGTACTGTAAAGCTCCCAAACTACAAGCTGAAAGACTTAATTTCACCATTCCCTTGAGGCTGCAGGTGAATTGTTAATCTGAGTCTCAGTCCCCATGTCTGTGTCAGGAAATAAAAACAGCTGCCATCAGGATCCCAGACCACATAACACAAGATCTGGAGAGTCTCAAATTCATTTGCTGGAGACCAGGCTGACTTTGATCTCACAGGGATCTACCTGCCTCTGCTGGGATTGAAGGCATGCACTATCATACCTGGCTGATTTATTTATTTTTTTATTTTATGTGTATGAGTGTTTTGCCTGCATAGTATATAAGTGCACCACATGCGTGTAATGCCTGTAGAAGCCAAAAGAGGGCATTGAATTTACTGGAACTGTAGTCACAGACAGTTATGAGCTGCCATGTGGATGCTGGGAACCAAACCTAGACAAGAGCAGCAAGCGCTCTTAACCACTGAGCCATCTCTCCAGTCCCCAAAGAGCAATTTTAAATAACATGAATAGTCTCTGAAGACACTTTTTGCAGACTACAGCCTAAGATGATAGTAATTTTGAATCTCTGATAGCCTCTATTTAAAAAGGCCAAGAAGACGCTGGCAAGATGACTCAGGATAAAGTACTTTCTCCTCAAGCCTGATGACCTTAGTTCGATCCCCAGAACTCACTTAAAGATGGAAGGAGACGATCACCTGTACAACATTGTCTTCTGACTTCCACGTGTGCACACACGCACACCGTATACAAATTTTTTTTTTTTAATTTAGGGCTGGAGAGATGGCTCATGGGTTAAGAGCACTGGCTGCTCTTGCAGAGGACCTGGGTTCAGTTCCTAGCACCCACATGACTGCTAACAACTGTCCATACATAACTCCAGTTCCAGGGGATTGGATGCCCTCTTCTGACCTCTGTGTGCATTGTACAACATGAGTACATCTACCTACATACAGGCTATACACATAAAATTTAAAAATAATAAATAAAATTTAAAATGTTAAGGAGGCTGAGAAGACTAATTGGTCTTTGGACTATTTCCACAAATGGAGGAAAGATGGTGCTGTAATCTGTCCTGAATAAATGCCTGCTATCTTGGCAAGTAGCACAGGTGTTTGTGACACACTGGACGCCAGAGCTGGGGTGCGTACTTGAGGGTACTCCCTGTTCTGCTGGCACCTGGTAGGTGTATATGAAGTAGGCAGTGCTCACTGTACACTCGCTGTGGGCCTATAGTTGCAGTGGTGTGCATACATGCAGTCATTTGTTTAACCCTTTAGGTAACTGCATGAGGTAGTACTGTTACTATCCCTTTTATACCTGAGAAAACTGAGGCATGGAAGGATAAGTGGTGGCTCAGCAGTAAGAGCACTGGCTGGTCTTGCAGGGGACCTGGGTTTGGTTCCCAGCACCCTCATGATGGCTTACACCCATCCATAATTTCAGTTCCAAGGAAGCCTGCGCCCTCTTCTGGCCTCTGTAGGCATTGCATGCGTTTGGTGTACTCATATACATGTAAGCAAAACACTTAATACACATAAAATAAATCAGAATCCACACCCAACATCCAGCTTTGTCCTAAATGTAGTGACTTTCAGATCCTTTGTGGTAATTTGTGGTGGGTGAATGGGTACAGAGAGGAGCTGAGGCTGCCATATCAGCAAGACCACAGTTTCTCAGCACACAGAGGGACTCTGAGGAGAGTTCACAGCTTTCTAAAGAGTGACCCCAACTCTCCATCCTTCTTCCTCCTTTTCCCCGTCCCTCCCCATAGGCGTACCCTGGCTGATATCATCATGGAGAAGCTGACTGAAAAGCAGACAGAGGTAGAGACTGTCATGTCAGAGGTGTCAGGCTTTCCTATGCCACAGCTGGATCCTCGGGTCCTGGAGGTCTACAGAGGGGTCCGGGAGGTAAGAGCTGAGAGGGCAGATGTGGGATCCCCTTACAGAGGATGTGGATTCCCACCTACGTCTCCTGTCAAATAAGGCATGGTAGCTAAGGGTGGGCCCAAGGCAGAGCTGCTGGGCTCAGCTTCTTCCTCTGCCTATGATGACCCTCAATGCATTTCTAAACTTGGGTCATCTGCAGAATGAGTATAGAAAAACACATCCATTTGGGATTGTTGTGAAGATGACTGAAATAGCACGAATAGCACAGGGATGAGGAACTGAACCTGGCCCCTGGGTGTTAATGACTGATTTGCCTCCATCATCCCTAGGTGTTGTCCAAGTACCGCAGCGGGAAACTGCCCAAGGCTTTTAAGATCATCCCTGCACTCTCCAACTGGGAGCAAATCCTCTATGTCACAGAGCCTGAGGCCTGGACTGCAGCTGCCATGTACCAAGCCACCAGGTAGCCTCAATGGGTTAGGGTGGCTGATCTGTGGTGCAAAGGCATGGGATGTGCAGGCTTTGCCCGCCTTTGCTTTTGCATCGCAGCTGCTTTGCCCACGGTGCTCCCTGGATTTCTTGCTATCATTTCCTTAGCTTTCCCTCATTTTTAGGGCCAAGTCCTCTAGGACTTCTGGGGTCAGGGGTGGGTTATAGCTTCCAGGCCACAACCCCAGTGTGACAGTAGCTTCAGAAGTCTATGACTCTCCGGGGTGGAGGGAAGCCATGATGGGAAGAAAAGAACAAGTAGCTGAGTAGCCAGAAAAAAAATGGATAGGGGAATTAGTTCAGGGTGCAGTGCAAGGCCCTGGGTTCGAACGCCGCATTATAGGAAAAACAAGTGGCATACATTCTGTTTTGGGTACATCCTATTGCTGTCCTCTTCTTTAAGCGGAGTTGGGTGTGGTGTGCACACAGTTCCCATATACCCTTCTGTGAAAGGAGGTCTCTCTATCTTACTATAAAATATCTTGCATACACCATCCACAGTGGTACTGAAGGGGCCAGGCCCAGACTCTTGTGTGACTTGGAACTCCTACCCCACTAGGATTTTTGCTTCTAACCTGAAGGAACACATGGCTCAACGCTTCTACAACCTTGTCCTGCTCCCCCGGGTACGAGATGACATTGCTGAATACAAACGACTCAACTTTCACCTCTACATGGCACTCAAGAAGGCCCTGTTCAAGCCTGGAGCCTGGTTCAAAGGTAGAAGCCCAGAGGCAGGGGAGGAAGGAAGGACCAGAGCTCCTGCAGGAGACAGCGGCAGACCTGACTTGGGGAATGGCTAGAGTCCATTGGTGGGCCTTACGTGGTTGGGGTACTTGCTGCTGTACCTCCTTTTTCTCACACCAGACTAAAAATGACTGCGCATGACTCTCCCCAGGAATCCTGATCCCACTGTGTGAATCTGGCACTTGTACCCTCCGAGAAGCCATCATCGTGGGTAGCATCATCACTAAGTGCTCCATCCCTGTGTTGCACTCCAGGTAGTGTTGGTGGGATGGAGAAGAATTGATCAGTAAATAGTAGAGCTGCCAGGACTTGGGCATGGGGGCAGAGTAGAGAAGGAGTTAAGGTGACCCTGGGTTTGTGACTTGTTTAAGCCAATAGGTATATCATGACTCCAGTAGAACATAAGTTCCATAAGAAAAGGATCCCAGGACATGGTAGATAGTAGGTGCTCAGGAAATAATTGAATGAAGGAATGAGTGAATAGGTACCTAGAAAGAAAGTCAGTAAAAGATGGAGATGGTGAGACATTTGAGCATACTGTGGAGTTGAATACAGGGACTGTTTGCCATCTAAGCCCAAGGCAGAGGTGTGGGGTGGATGTATAGAGATGGTCACAAGAATCCAGGAGTATGAAGAATAGATGAGAAACCTGTGGTGGCCTGCTCAGGAATGCCATAGGTAAGGATTAGCAGGGAAGGAAAATCACTCCAGCATCTCCCTGCTGGCCTCTTGACCACACCTCCCCTTCCCACCAGTGCGGCCATGCTGAAGATTGCCGAGATGGAATACAGTGGTGCCAACAGCATCTTCCTGCGCCTGCTGCTGGATAAGAAGTACGCACTGCCCTACCGGGTGCTAGATGCTCTGGTCTTTCACTTCCTGGGCTTCCGGACAGAGAAGCGCCAGCTGCCTGTGCTCTGGCACCAGTGCCTCCTGACACTGGTGCAACGCTACAAAGCCGACTTAGCCACAGATCAGAAGGAGGCCCTGCTTGAACTGCTCCGGCTGCAGCCCCATCCACAGCTGTCCCCCGAAATCAGGCGTGAGCTTCACAGCGCTGTCCCCAGAGATGTGGAAGATGTTCCCATCACCATGGAATGAGAACAGTCACCTGTCTTGATCCAAAAGGCATGGGAGGCTCCCAAGACCCAAGCCTCTCGGTGACAAAGATGGCTAAAGACCTAGACCAGGACACTGAGGGGCCACTGGGGCATCTGGGGCTTCAGTCCTAGGCAGGGAAGACTGTGTCTGCCTGGCTCTGTCTTCCGTTCTAGACCTTGATCCCTGATCACTTGTGGAAGCTAACTGGAGTTTCCCCACTCCAGCACTCCCACACCCAGCTGGCACTTGATATAAGGGCGCTCTCCATCTATTGTGTCAGGTATGGATAAAACAAAGGCAGGTATTTATTAAACCTGTTTTGGTGTAGTCTTTGGAGGCCTTTCTACTTCCCCCTGTAGCCTGAGGTACGAGTGAATCTTCCTGCCTCCATTTCAGGAGTGAGTTCTTAGTTTACGCAAAGCCACACCCCTTAATCTACAAGGTCGACTCTAGGCTCTACTTCCCTTGTTCCCCTTGAGCCGTAGGGATGTGCTCTGCTTACCCTTGACGTGATATGGACTACTTTAGAGGAATGCCAGCTTCTGTTGCCATGGAAAGGTGGTGGTTGGTGTATAATTGTAGACTATATAACAAAAGAAAGCCCTTTGTCAAGGACAGGGACAGCAGCAGTAAGGTCAGAAAAATGGTTGGATCCAGGAGTAAGTTCCAGCTCCGCACCAGACAGGTTCTTGTCCTAGTTGACAACCAACAAGAACTTTTGGCCAGTGGTTGGCCAACTAGGGCTAAATGCCTGTTTGTGTAGCTGATGGACAAAGAATGGTCTTCATAATGTTTAATGACTTGGGGAAAAGTTAAAACAACAGCATTTTATGACATGAGAAGTATATGAAATTTATTTTTTAAGAGGGGAAAGTGTTGAACATTTTAAGAGCTTTACAAGGGACAAACTAAAAGATGTGGTGCTTTTCAAAGAAGTTTTAATTGCCTGGTTATTGGTATGGAAGTTGTAAGAGGTCTCTATGTACTTCAGAGTGCTTCATGAATTCATGCTTTTGGCCCTGAGCTGGGGAAACTCACCATCTTCATCCTCACCAAAGTGACTCGATGCTCAGAGCAGTCTGGCCAATGTGATGGTTCTTATATAGCTGTAAAGCCTCAGGTTTACCAAGACTGCCAACTTCAGAATACACAGACTTTCCCTTTCACTCAGTTTATCTGTGTCCTGGAGGAGATTAGAGACAGTGTTGAGGATGATACTGAGGCATGTGGCCCCAAGACTGGACAAGCTGCCACAGCTGGTGCATAGAGGCCCCTTCTGTAAGGTTAGACACAGTCCACATAGCCTGTTTCTGAACTTTGAATGAATTCTCCATTCTTTTAGCAGGTCACACATGATCAGCTGCTGGATGTGATGTAGGGGCCCAGGTGACCGCCTCCTAGATAGTAGAGGTGCCTCAGGAGCTTGGGCAGTATCTTCAGCATGCTGGTGTTGATTGATGGTCATCTGGGTCTGGTGATCCATTCCTGTGACAATGTAGCCCATGGTGCAGAAAGGTGTTTAGATACTGAGTTCTGAGTGGGTCACAAGTTCTGCCAGCCTGAGCAGGATCCCCATTTCAACCACTAGCTAGTGTGCTCATCATAAAGTCTTTGGTGAGGTAGGGCAGGGCCAGGCAGGTGTCAGAGGACCTCATCATGATGGCTTGGGAGATAGGCAATGTCTGCATCACTGCCTCCTACAAGGGTCCGGGTTCTTTTTCCAAGAACAGATTGGACGGGGTCCATGTGATGGTGCACAGAAATGTAATTTGTGTATTTGAAGATAAAAGGGTGAGCAAATATAGGATGGCTGTTTCTGATGGTAATTATCTCTGAATTCTGTGTCACCAGATATATTAACATGCTGCCTTCATACACACACACAGTGATGTGGTAAAGACAGCTCAATAATGCTGGATGGCATCCACTTTTACCATGGCTTCCATCTGGCTCCAAAGTTCTTGAGGCAGTGGTCAGAGCCTAGGCTGCCTCCAGCTGCAAGTGGGGGTGCCAGGACAGCATCAGGAAGGTCTGGTTTCAAAGATCAGTTTTACAGGAGGTTCCTTTCCTGCAACAGCATCTTCCATTTCAGCTGGGTGTAGATTCTTTTAAGTTTGAAGGTAGCTAGGGCTACACAGTGAGACCCTATCTCTTTGCATGATCTGTGGCCACTTTGTGCCACTGCAGCAGACCCAGTGTTATCCTACTATAGACAGACCCTCATGCTTGCTTTTAGAAAAGTGCATTTGTTCCACCCCATTCAAATATCTGGAAACAGTTTCTCTCAACAAGGAGTTCCTATTTGGTTATGTGTCATGTCATCTTGGAAACACTAGGTAAATGCAAAGAAAACCAGCTAAGCCAAATGACCAGCTCCACAGCTCTACCCACACACCCAGCTCTAACAGTTCCCCTCTCAGAGGGCGTACCACACCGCCTCACCCCTGGGAGTACCTCCCACTGCTGCTGTGGAGAACAAGTGTCTACCTCCACAAAAGCTAAAACTGCCCTTTTTCCACCCTGCAGTATTGGGAATGGAATCCAGGGCCTTCATTCTAGGGTAAGTTCTACCTAGCTACACCCCTACCCCACTCAAGTTGTTTTTGTTCTGAGACAGGATTTTGCCATATAGCCAAGGCTGGCCAAAAACTTCTGCCTCAGCTACTTTGGCATAATAGGTCTCCATTGCTGGGGGGTACATCAGATTTCTAAGTGTACCCAATGGAGGCCAGAAGAGGGCAGCAGATCCCCTGAAACTGGAGTTGTTAGCCACCAGTGGGTGCTGGGACCTGAACCCAGGTCCTCTGCAAGAGCAACCAGTGCTCTTAACCACTGAGCCATCTCTCCAGTCCCATGCATCATTTGTTTAAGTTGTATATATGCCACTATCCTAGTTTGGTTTCTGTTGCTGTGATAAACCACTCTGACCCAGAGCAACTTGGGGAGAACAGGGTTTATTTTATCTTACAAGTTACAGTCCATCCTCGAGGGAAACCAAGGCAGGAACTAAAGCAGAGACCAGGGAGGAATGTTGCTTACTGGCTTGTTAGCTAAGTTTCTTACATAGTCCAGGCCAACCTGCCTAGGGATAGCACCTCCCATAGGCCCTCCCACATCAATCGGCAACTAAGAAAAAGACACAGGCCAGTTGTTTGGAAGAGATTCCTCATTTGAGATTACCAAGTAACTACTAGATTGTGTCAAGTTAACAAAAGCTAACCAGCATAGCTATCAAGTCCCATTTTCCCATAAACCCTCTGAGGGGTGGTGTTCTGTTATAGTGCAGTGATTTGTAGGAACGCATAGGCACTGCTGGTTAGAGAAGAGACCCTCAGGCCCACAAAGCCTAAGTACTTCAGTGTTTCTGACCTGACTTCTGCCTCCTCACCTTGTGCCCACACCACCAGGGAATCCAAGAGCCAAAGGCAGTTTTATTCCAGAATCTTTATTAAGGCAGCATGATGGTCCTGGGCTACCAGCCCAAACCTTGTGGCCTTAGGAAAGACCTGTGTCAACAGGGCTTCCCCCCTCTCCAGACAGGCTGAGTCACCACCTCTGGAGCAGAGCATCCACCTCTGCTTTACCCTCTGCTAGATGAGGTGCAGGCTGAAGGAGAGAAAGGCATGGCCCCATCCCAGGCTGTAGCAGCTCCTGGGCCACAAAGCGGTAGCAGAAGGGAGTGAAACAGCAACCGCCAGGGTTACCACCACTTGTAGGGTACATACAGGCCCCACTGTACCCTCTTTATCGTTGTACTCAAAGCAATTAATAAATTAAAATGACCTCATCTTTCAGCACCATACCCCTCAATCACACAGAAACTAAGATGAAAGCAAAGCAAGTTTATAATTCTTGCCCCTCTGACCAAGGCCTAGGCCCTTCCCTCTAGGAGCAGCTGGGAGCACGGATTACACAGGGGCCACTAAGGTATGCTGAGGGGAGCCATCTAGGCCAGTTCCCCTCACACATGTCTATCAGGATGCCTGAAGGACCCGAATCCAAATGCAATAACCCTAGGAGGGGCAGCACCTTTGGAAGGCACTGGGGCATTTTGGGAATTGAGAAGATGAGAGTCCAGGGAGAGGGGACTCAAAAGGAATGCTGGTGCATGGGTTTTACCTGTTTCGAGTTGTCTGACCAACCTGGCCCAGCCCCAACCAGAGACAGGAGTCAAGCTGGTCAGATGGCGAGGAAGAGGAGCTGACTGGCCATGCAGACACCCACATGGCCAGCCAGCCCCTTAGTGCACACTGTGGGGATAGGCAAGACCTGGCCCCTTGGGCTTTTGTGAGGGGGACAAGAGCCCCCCTCGGGCTTTAGATGTGACGTGGATTGTTCCTAGAGGCAGGGAGGGGGTGGCAGTAGCCCCTCCTCTACAGGTGGATGGCTGTGACATCTGTTGGAGTGCTGGTCTGGCTGGGTCCCTGGCTGCTAGAGCCCCGGGGGGCTTTGGGCACCGGGCTGGGGGCAGTCTGGGAAGCTTCCCTGAGGCTCTCCCTGAGCGCAGCTTCAATCTGCTCCTGGCAGGCCCGCAGGCAGTCCTGGGAAGAACAAGGTCAGTGAGAAACAGCTCTCCCCGGGGCACTGGCAGCACACAGGGAAGTCTGAGGAGGTTAGGCCACAGCCCAGCCCAGGAATCGGGTCTTCAGTTCTCAGAAACTGGCAAGAGGATGTGGCAAGAGGGTGTGAGAGCAGCCCTGTATCTGACACCAAATCCCCCACCCCCACCGCAGCTTGCCATTTGGCAAGAGGGGCATCCAGAGTCGGAGTCCTTTACCCCACCCAGTACTCTCCAGACCCAAGCAGAAGATGCAAGGCCACAGAAGCAGGCAAGGGTGTAAAACTGGGAGTTGGGAAATGGATGCCTCCCTCTTCTGGAGATTCAGTGAATAGCACTGTTTTTTGTGAATGGGGCCTTAAGACTCACCACTTCAGTGCCTGTGATCCCTGCCAGCAGCTCAGTGAGCTCATCCCCAGATAAGGAGCAGGCGCCCAGGCCTTGCACTGCAGCCCCAATGCTGCCTGTGGCGATCATGGATGGAGGGTACATGGCAAAGGTATAATCTGGAAAAGGGGAGGGAGCCATGAGGATAGCAGTCATGGACTTCCTACATGTTACAATGTATCAATAACATGAATACAGCAGGGACACACTGGGAAACCCCGGTGGTGGGTGGGGTGACACATGGCCAAGGGAAGGAGGCAGATCCCAGGGAGGGAAGGGTGGGGCTGGGCTGTGTATGTGTGTGTGTGTGTGTGTGTGTGTGTGTGTAGCACTGAGACTGCCACTGGGACCTCAGAATGCTAGGCAAGCACACCATCACGGAGCTACATCCCCAGCCTTCTCCAACATCTGGGTGAATAGCAAATTTCCATCACCCACATTGGAGTTGGCCAGGAACTAGAGAATGCCTAAAGCCCTTTCTGTGGGGGAAACCATTGAGACCTTGGGCAAGTCACTTCTTACTGTACCCTCAGTATCTCACCTCTATACTGAGGTCTCTAAGATCCCATATGGCTCTTAGTATTGAAACTGGGAGTTCCAAAAGGATACAATTCCCACAAAGGGGCATAAACTGCAGTGTCCCAGTTACTGCTCACCCTTCAAATCTTCTGGTGTTCCTCAGATGGGCAAGAATGTGTACAAGCCTCTTCTTACCTGTAGCACATAGGGCCAGAAAGGTCTGGGCATGCTTTTTGACCAGGGCCTGTCGGTCACTGGGCAGAGAGAGCCGGTGCAGAATCAAAGCCAGGAAATCGTGGGCAATCACAGCAGCTAGGTCCCACTTGAGCTTCCCCAGGACCAACACCTCCCATTCCTGGGGATTGAGGAATAAAGGAGAGTCAGTGGCTAGAAAGGGGGTGAGAGTATCGCAGAAGGCTCATAGGGAGGGATGCGCCTCATACCTTTGAAGTTCAAGACCCCAGTTCTGCCTCTGGTTTAGGAGCTAGCACTATGGAATGAAGGCAGGAAAGAACTAGGGGTATTTAGTTGGAGCATCTATTGATTGTTTACTGGTGCTGGGACATTCAATTATCCCTTCTAATTCTAACCTCATCAGCTTTCCATAAACTTAAGGCTGTTCGGGGTTGAAACAGATTCCAAATTCCAAAGACTTGAGAATTAGCTATCACCACTAGTCTCCCTATCCTCAACCCTGCATCTCAGCCAAGTTTCTTAAAGAACAGGAATGAACACGAGGCCACTCCTATAACAAAGCCATTGACCCTCCTGAGGTTCCTTAAAGGGAAGCTTGCCCAACACAACCCACATCCCCTTAGTGGGACATCAGGGGTGGGGCCTGTCTCAAGACAGAGGGAGGCCAAGTGAAAGAGTCTGACTCCAAATGACCCCAGAGGGACCAAGTCCTGTCCTCACCTGCCCAAGCCTACAATAACCAATATGAGGTTTTAGAGGGAGGCTGGGGGCCTCACCCCAATCTACTTGTCTAGGTTGCTTCACTTGGGGGTTCCCAGACATGGACCCATTTCTGAGTTGCACACACTAGGATTTCTTCATTGTTTTATCTCAGGAAGGAACTCATGGGTTTGACTCCTCATTGAGGTAGAAATGGCAGCCCCACCCTGTCTCTTCCAGGCCCCTAGCAACAGCTGTCCCTCTTAAGTCTTTCTACCCTGTTAGCTCTATGCTTCTCAGAGGACCCCACAGAAGCAGCCTGGGCTAGAGCCAGAAGGCAGATAAACCTGGGCCCAGCTCCCACAGCTTGTCCTCACAAGGGTAATCCAAAGTATCCAGCCTCCAAGGGAGCACCCAAGAGGCAACTAGAGGTGTAGGGGTCCTGTTTGCAGGAAGGTAGCCACCCTCCCCTGTATCCATGCAACCAGAGAATCCTATCCCTACTTCCTGAACATAGTGACTGGCAGCGTACATCTCATCCCTGGCTTTTTTTTAGTCCTCCTCTACTGGGCCTCACAGCCTTGCCTGCTGCACAAGGACTTAGATTTTTGGAGTTCTCCTTGGTCCCTTGTAGTTCTTCTAAAATCTAGCCATCTGTCCTCTACCAGGGCAAAAAGTACTTTTTTCCTATTCAGAAAAACTCCCCTTACACTCAGGCATGTACCTACCCCAATCTTCACACACACACACACACACACACACACACACACACACACACACAC